TTTGCTCTCAATTTGAACATCTCTAAAAGAAACTGTTTACATTCCAGTTTGATTTTTAGAATATATAATTTCAAAAATCCAAAGCACTTTCCTCAACATTTAGTATTAAAATAAAATTCTATAAAGCATTTCCATCTTCAAAAATTCTAGTATATAACAGATTCAGGAAATACGGATACACATATAGAGACTGGAGAGAATGCAATCTAAAAACCATAATTCACAGAAGACCAAACAAACCACAAACCAGAAAAACACCACCAAAATTTTATTTCAAATGAGACATTTCAACAATTGTAAACCACATCTGACAACAACTTTTTAGCACTGGTTTTACTACTTATGAAATAGGATTGCAAAGATAATTCTTGCTTCACAGAATTTAAAATGAAGATTTTATCAATCTTAGTAAAAGGAAAACCAAATTACAAACTCAATTAAGTATCAAATAAATGCAGAACAAAGTAAAAAAGAAAAGTTCTAGGAAAGAAAAGCACTTACTGCACTAAGAGACAGAGACAATGTCTGCAGAATATCTAGCATAGTCTTCAGCACAGTTCCACTCCACAGCAAGTGAGGAAATCTAGAGCAAGACAGAAGTCAGAAACACAATAACCATGGAGAGCTGAAGAAGGCCATTATTCCATCAAGGGAGCTGCTCAAAGAGCCAGGTTATACACCCCTAGGTAAGCTCATACTCAACAGAAGCCACAGAGCCTCACAAGAGCCTGGCTTTATCCAGAGCCAAAAGCTGAGGAGAGCCATTGCACAGGAGCTGAGACTGCACTTCTATCATGGGCACTTTGCTTTGCTCCACCCATGGCAATACTAAGCAGACACACATTTTAACCAGGGGTTTCTGAGCTCAGGCTAAAAACACCACTGGATGTAATTTTTCAAGATGTTTCAGCAGAAGTAGCAGCCAAGAAATCCACTTGACCAGTGTCACCAAGTGCCTAAGCAACCACTAAACAGTCATTGTGAAAAGAGAAACATGAAATCTATACTCACTTGTCTACCAGCCCAGATAAGTATTTGTCTGCAACTCTCCTGATCCTCTTGTGAATGTGGTTGAAATTCACCAGCAAGAACTGAGCATGTCTCTCCAGCTCTTCCTCATTCTCCTTAGTTTTAGGCTAAAAAACATGCCAAAGAGAAGTATGAAGCTCCTAAAGGAACAGACAAACTCACTTTCATAAACTGAAATGAGAACATTTATACAAATTCAAAATTTTAGTTGCCAGATAACCTACTTTATCAGCCATCATTGTCAGGAAAGCTTCAAAGACCTTATCAGCAACAGCTATCACACACTGCATCATGCCTGAGGAATGGAGAGAAGTGACAGATTTCATTGTCAAAATTACATTTGTTTTATAAACCAGGCTTAACAGTTAAAAAGTGTTTATGTTTACTCAGCCAATATTGAACTTGTTTCAAAACAAAACCAGTGTTCTTGGCAAGAATAAAGCAGCAGCAATCTGGTGAACATGATTCATTTTGTTATATAGCTGCTTGATTTGCTTCTGCTTTGCAGGCCTGGAGATAATTGCCTCATACCTCAAGTTGAGAGGAAACCTAGACAGGTAAATCTTACCAGATTTGTCTTTCTGAATTGCTTTATCTTCAAAATAGCAAAACATGACTTGGAAGCGATCTTGGTCAGTTGAACGCAGCACCCTAGGGAAGGAGAGTTTTGTAAGTTGGCATGTTTGGGGTTTTGTTTATTTTGTTTGTTTATTTGTTTTGTTTATTTCAGATTTTGTTTGTTTCAGGAACTTACTGATTGGGGTTTTTTTAGGGTTTTTTTTGCTGTTTCATAAGTGAAAAAATGAAATATAGATAGACACAAACCTCATATACTCCAGGCGGTAAACAGAAAGGAGATAGGTGGACATGGCAAAATCCAATTTATTGATCAACGCTGACACCTCTGGAGGAGGATCCAAGAGATTGATGATGGTGCTCCGTAATTCATTCAATTCAGCCTAGAGATGAATACAAGAACTTATCTGAAGTGGGAGTCTTGTATTAGAGTTTGTGTCCTCAAACATTCATTCACCTATTTGTTAACATTTCAACCTTCACAAACAATATGTCAGGATGCTTCTGTCTACAGACTCAGACCAACCTCCCCTGACTCAGCAAGTCACAATGCTTCAAATACAGAACAGAATTCAATCTGGAGTCAAGCTTCTGGCAGAAATAATTGGTACTTCCCATGCAGTTATTCCAATGAAGAAATACAATTCCTACACTAAATGCATGCAAGTTTGACCAACATCAGCACTGTCCAGCTCCTGAAACCTCATGGACTTGTGCCAGTCTTTGGTGTCACAGAACTATGTATCCAGGCACAATGCAGATTTCTGTATTATTTGGGAGCCAAAGGGATTTCATAAGCCAAAAAGAGCCCTTGGGCAAAATCTAGTAGTCCTGTAAAATCTATCCTACAAATTCCAGGGAGAGAGAAGAATACCAGTATCAAGCCAGAGCAATCTCAACATTTCTTTAAAAGCCTGAATGTGTTTTTTCCTTTCAAACTTTGTTGATTTTCTTTTTTTAATCAGTGCAAGTTTTGTCAGGTACAAAATGGATGAAAAAGCACTAAGAGGCTCCATCTCCACAAAAACTTGGTTTCTACACCTAATCAAGGTGGTGTTGCTACCCCTCTAAACACTTAGGTCCATAAAACTGACCCCAAGTCACTTATGCACCCTGATGTCAGAAGAATAGCATAACACAGCTGCTTTTCACCAATAGGAGGCAGGTTGAAGGGGTGTGCTATTTCAATATATCACAGGTACCATGTCATTTAACACTGGCAGACATAATGGAAGGGGGTAATAGAAGAAATGAATTCCTACAGAAGTCACGGTGTCATTCTTCATGGCAGAATTGTACTGCAGAACAGATCGCAGTGGCTCTTTGCTGGGAAAGGTGAGTAATGGAGACTTGGTGGCAATTTCACACACACCTTCATACCACTCTTCTGGCCAAAGACCTGGAACAGAAGTAGAAAGGTGGAATGAAGCATTAAAAAAAAAAAAATCAAGTTTCACAAAGTTACCTTTACCAAGCTTTGCACTACTTCTAGGGCAGATTTTTCATGCTCTTAAGCACAGACACTCAATGCACATGATCCATGTTCCAAACTTAGTAAGTGTACTTAGGTGAAGTTTCTACTTAATTAACATTGTACCCCATGTGTCTTATCTTCCATTTCAGAAATCTGGCTATCAAAACTCAGAACTAAGGCTATTAGGAATAAAACTAAGTACAAGTTGTATTGTGCTGAATCTGACAAAAAAAAACACCTGCAAAGATTTAAAGAAATCCCACCAGAGAACTGTCATGTAAGTTGTTTCCTTTGAAGTCTCTATATGCCTGTATTTTTTCTTCCAGCTACTGGGAATGGTTTGCACAGAGTTGTACTTAGTTTCATCAAAAGTTGAAATGTGAGCAGCAATGCAGAGTACCTGATCCTTCCACAGCAAATCCCATCAGCACCGAATACAACCAGAAATCGCGGAACAGCTTCTGCAGCCTGGGCTTGGCCTCCTTGATGGGTGGCAAGCGTCTAGTGAGCTACCAAAGAGATAAAAATTAACATCAGAAAATGGTGGGAGTTAGAATAAATTAACTCCACACTAAGAAATCAACTCATGTACCTTCTTTACTATGATTTACAAAGGTAATATTCTTTGTCACCTGTGAAAACTAGCATTATATTGCTATTGTTATATTATAGAAATTAAGTTCCTTTTGGAGAGCTGAAAGGCTAACTTTGAGATGCCTGAAGTAAGAATTTCCTTTGTTTTACACAGGAATAACACCATGATGATACAGTAACCTCTGAGGAGAATACATAATACTAGTATACTATCCACTGCAGGGAGGAAGAGACCACATGGTCCTTTAAACTGTCCCGAAGACAATGGCACGCAGCTTTGCTTCACCGTAAAGGAACTCCAAACCAAATAAATATCAGTCAAAACCACTTCTGGTTGCTATTGTTTATCAGCTTTGTGGAAATACATTGAGGCACCAATTGGGGATCTTTCATTGTTTGCACCCACGCACAGAATGACATCAGTTCTGAAGAATTTACTATCTAAACAAGCAAGTAAAAGAGCATTATTTTCAACACACTTATTAAAATTCTCTGGTTCTTTTTGCACAAAGAGCTGCTACCATTGGAGGAGCAGTATATCCTCTCAGCCAACATGATTTACATTTTTAGATAAATTTATATACAAAGATCATAGTGTGTTATCCTAAAAAGAGTTAAAGCACAGGCAGTGTAAAAAAAGTAAAAGAAATTGTCCATTAAACCACAAGCTTTATTCAATATGACTGTATATTACTACTGTAAACTTTATTAACAAAATGTTACATTCTAACCTAACTTGAAGAAGTTTTCTCTAACCACAATAATTCTCTCAAGATATGAGTGCCAGCAGTACTTCAGTGAAACCTTACATAAAGCCAACTTCAGATGCATTTGTAAATCATGAGGGAGATTAGTCATTTAAAAAGGAAAAGCATTAAAAAATCTCTCTATTATAATAAAATCAGTCTGAGTTTAAGCTGGTGAACAACACTATGGTAAAAAGCTGTTTGTGCAATGGAAATCTTTGCACCAATACAACACCAGCGGAAGAAACCCCATCACAACCACAGAGGCCTCAAACACATTTGCACTAAGATGCTCCCCCCGTCCCCATTTCAGCACAAACAGCAGCTACATGGCTTTTCCTGTCATTAACAGTCAAGTTTATGTGCATGCTTGACTTTGAAACTTTACATACACACTGATTTTTGCTCAAAGATCTTCCTCAAAAGGGAACAAGTACCTGCAAAGCTATAAAAGTAGTTCAACAAACAACAGAGAATTCAGCAGAGATCACTAGGCAAGGGAGGGATTTTGGCTGACGAAGTAAGTTTAGCAGTGTTTGGTTTAGAGAATGTTTACTTTGGGAGATACACAAAAAAGCAGCGTCAAAGTTCAGATTTAAACCCTGCTGTTCCCTTTACTTGAGCTTTTCAACACATCCTTCCCGTACAGTGGCTTAAAGGTAAGCTTCATTTACCTCTCCTGTGATTTTGGGTAGATCTCACCAAAGACATATATATTGCAGAGAAGGGAGAAGTTTTGCCTGTGTAAGTGCAGCTGAGCAATAACTGAAGTTTGGTGAAGATGAGAATGTAAAGTTGGGAATACAGACAGCAAATTCTGCTGTGCCAAGGGAGAAAATGTTTATCAATGGTTACTGGACAGAGTATCTCAGCCCTAAGGGCCTGACTTCTGGGGGCGGGGAAAAAACAAATGAATTTATGGAGAAACAATAAGAAAAAGACTGACTCGAGATGCTCAGTCACAGTGTAAAACAAATTCTTATTTGGATACTTTCTGCAAAACAATGTATTCTTTTATATGGGAGGATCACCTTAAATGGTTTTAGGATTTAAAGCAAATTAGTCTGGGGGAGAGTTTCAAAAACTAATCTGTCAGCTCAGTTATTTCAAGCCTGTTACAACATGTTTGAAAATATTTTCCTTCGAGGTTTTATTCACTGATATACAGGTCAGTGAACAGGTACAGGTATGTGAACCTTTATACTTTGCACAACAACTCTCTTTCCTAATTTAAAAAGCATTTTAATCAACACCTTAGTGAGATTTTAATTTTAACTGTATTCAGTACTTTGTCCTGTATTATATTGTAAATAACTGTCTTTTACTCAAGAAAGTGTATCAATTGAGATTAACTTTATAAATTCATGAAATAACTTTATAGTTAAATCTGAGCAAAACCCCTGGCCTGGCATTCAGACACCCATTCAGTTTCAGCTAACAGATCTATTGAACACCTGCATTTTGATCTCTGACTGTTCCAGGAGGCAATTACACTTTTTCATATATTTTTAAGATCACTTTACTGCACTCAATATTATTGTGAAAAGTCTCTCAGACCTACTTCTTGGTGGAGGGTTTTACAGCTGAGTAAGTCTGACGGAGTCTCTTAAAATATATACTGAAGAAAATTCTTGATTTAAAAAATAATTTTAAAATGCAGTAGTCAATCTCTTCAATAGATTAAGAGATTGATTAAGTTTCCCTTAGAAAAATGCAGGTTCTACTTAAATGTATTCTCAAACAAAAAAAGTGAGGTTACAAATCTAACTGGAATCATAGTAGCCCTAGAGAAACAAAGCTCTGAAGGGAGCCCAGAGAGACTTCACACCATGAAGAAAACAGAGAGCACTACGAGTTCTGCAGTGCTACAGAAAAGTGAAACAAAACATAACTAAGCCAAAAGCAGAATCAAGCCAATCCATTACAAAAGTGGCAGATGAGGACAGAGAGCTGCAGAAAGGGAGCACAGACATTGAGTAACCCGCCCCAGTAAGGCCCTGAGCAGGCCAGGAGAGGCGTTTATGCCCAACTCTCCCCCCAGTGCAGCCCCACGAATGGTGCTCAGTGCAAACTCACATCCTTCTACATGCCCAGATCGCCCTTATTCACCAGATTGCTGCCTTGCTTTTCCAAAATACTCCCACAAAACTTCCATTTTTGTTGTAGCTACAGGATGTTTGTTTTTCAAATTTTTCAGTACATCTCAGCCTTCTGGTATGTTTCTGCAGGGGATTTGATCAGCAGTCCCTGTTCTTCCTACCAAGCTCAAATCTTCAAACTTAACTTCACACTGTATTTTCAGCACACACTACTCACACAGTTAGTGCACAGTTCAAGTGTAACAGTTTAAAATAAAGGGTCCCACATATTGTGGGTAATGAGTTTGTAACTGTTGAAATATGCCAGTAACGACCATTTGTATGGGAGGAGGTCAACCAATTCTTTGGCAGGCTGGAGGCATTGTGTAAGCAAAACCAATTACCAGTAAAACAGACTTACCCATCTAATTGACATCTGTTCCACTAAAATACAGTGCTGTCGAATAGGGTAACTATAGATCTGCTGCTGCCACAGAAATCAGCATGAACCTAAAATCAGGGAATAGATAACTAAAATTCAATTACCCTTGACTCTCTCAACTGTGTTGTTTTCCAGGCTTTCACCAGTCAGAATGAAGTTCCTATTTCAATTGCTTGCCTTCGCTCTCATCATAACCTCCACATTTTGTGGAGTCAAGGACGTCACTGAGCACTTTGAAAGCCTTAAAGGTGCACAGCCACATGAAAATGGGACTTACATGCCAAACCTACCACTCGAGTTCCACAGAGAAAACACCATCACTAATGACTTGATTCCTGAAGAGGAGGAGGAAGAGGACTACCTAGACCTTGACAGGATACTGAATGAAGATGACTACAGTGATGTTATTGATGCTGCCCCACACATGGTTTCTGAAGTTCAACAAGGAAATATTCTTGAACTATTCCAAGGCAAAACCAGAATCCAGCGCCTCAATATCCTCAATGCAAACTTTGGCTTCAACCTTTACCGCAGCGTGGCAGACAAGGCCAGCTCCTCAGACAATATTATCATGGCTCCTGTTGGTATTTCCACTGCAATGGCTATGATTTCCCTGGGCCTGAAGGATCAAACCCAGCAGGAAGTGTTATCAGTTCTCGGCTTTCAAGACTTCATTAATGCCAGCAGCAAATACGAGCTCATGACCGTCCACAACCTCTTCCGCAAACTCACCCATCGGCTCTTCAGGCGCAACTTCGGCTTCACGCTGAGGTCTGTCAATGACCTTTATATCCATAAAGACTTTTCTGTCCTCAATGATTTCAAAACCAACATGAAAACATACTACTTTGCTGATGCCCAAGCAGCTGATTTCTCAGATCCCAGTTTCATAGCCAAAACCAACGAACGCATCTTGAAGCTGACCAAGGGATTAATAAAGGAAGCTCTTGTGAATATAAACCCTACAACACTGATGATGATTCTTAATTGTCTTTACTTTAAAGGTAAGACTCTATTATTTCAATCTCAGTGATGGATTTTCTCAGTTTGCAATGCACTGCCATATGTCATTAGAAATCCCAGACAGAATTAAAGTCTAATGTACACTACAAAAAACCTACAGACTCTCTCATTAGGAATCTGTATTATTACCCCAATTTTGCCTGTTTCTGTAGCACAACAATGCTCTGAAGTTATTGCATACATACAGCAAATGCTTACTACTTCCAAAACCTTAATGACTCACAGTGAGGCAGAAAGACAACATATGAATGCAGAATAGCCTCAGAAAGCATAAGCTTGGTAGAAGTACCAGATGGGGAGGTATAGATGCATATGCAAGTCATTAGTCACATTTAGTCTTGGTGTCACTGGAATGCTACAGGTCGATTTCAGTTAAAGCACTTAACATCTCTGAAGCATTCAGACTCATACAAATGACTACAAAGAATTTCAGCTTGAAGGAAGCAATTTTTTAATATGATCAGAGCGCGATCCTTGTTAACAAGTCCATACAGGGGACCTAAGAGAATAACCAAAACACTGCTCTTCTACAACTAAAACCAAAAAACATTCACTACATGGAATATCCCAGTTAATTCAGCATGAATGGTCTGCTGATATGAGCTCCTTCATGCATTAGTAAAGGCTGAACAGTTAAAGAGGCTTGAAGTAGACTCTACAATATATTCTTATTATAAACCCTTATTTTCAATGTCTTTACATTTAAACTAAGAGCCTGTGGTGAGATTTTCAAGCTAAGTTATCTGCCTCAGGTTGAAAGTCTGTTAGTTTTTCAACCAGCTTTTAAAATTACATTAAATGAGCCAGAGGTGGGAGGTTCCAATGAAAGAAGAACTGAGGAGAAAAGGAAATCTGTTTCTGACTGTTTAAGATGAAAATCAAGTGACTTAAAACACAGGTAAGAAAAGACAAATTACCCCAAAAGGTAACAGTGTTTGCAAGTGCAACACACTCCTTTCCATAATTCATAATGGAGTTTATTTTTCCCCAGTTATGTTCCTGCTTCCAGGAAACAAAGGCCTCTCTTACACCTGCCATCTCAGCAGGTTATAGAAGCAACATTCCTATAAATGTACCTTTTCCCACTCACTTGCAAGGAATTACATCCTAGAATAATGCCACTTAGCCCTAAAAGAATCTGAAGCAATCATTAGCACTAAATCCAGTAATCTCCTATTCTCAGGTACCATCCAACAGGCACTCACTTGTATCCTTGATGACTTCCCTGGTGATCATATCATATTAAATACAGGGCTTTACTGCTTGTTAAACCTTCCTAAGAAAAGGACTATACAAATTGAAACAGATACTTTTTTTCATAATTAGGTGAAATTTGAAATACCCTTTTGTTTAATTCTGAAATTTTTACTTGTGCCATCTCAAAATAACAAAAAAACCACAAAAATAGACAGTTATGTTATTGGAACTCTTGAGCCATCAAGATTAAAAAAAACTTCAGGGTTTTTCTTCTGTCCTCTTAGTCCAAATTACCGTGGTGCCATCTGCTGAAGGCTGTAATTTCTAACCCTCAAAACAGAGATCAATTCTCTACTGCTCCCATTCTTTTTCTTACAGTGACAGTCACTTGGGAATTCTGCTTTGAGTGGAACTGAACTTTTTAAAAGCAAGTTCTGCTCCTAGGTTTCTTAGTTTCCACAATACTCCTTCTAACATGCCAAATTTTGTTGACACCTTTCCATTTGCACTGTTTGTACCACTGCAGAAAAGTTCTGTTAAGCCCTCAGGACTCACCTGTAAGCATTTCCAGATATACAGAGATGCTCAGTACAAGTGAGATTGAGTAGTGGGATACTTGACAAACACTGTGAGGTTTCCATCTCCTTTTATATTAAAGACCATCAAGAAACTATTGGAAACTATTTATCTTGGTAAGAAGCACATTTTATCTTGTACAGATGTCCAGCCTGCTCCCCATCTGCACAGTTCTGAGTAATCATTTGAGATTCCTACCAAGTAGGACTTGGTTATTTTAGCCATGACAGTTCTGGTAACTGACAAATGGAGACAACAATGGACACAACATCTCAATGGAGACAACATCTGCCACCACAGATGGATCCAAAAGACATCTAGGGGGAAGATTCAAAACAGAAAGTCACAGAAGTCATGACGTGCCAGCTGGTTTCAGCTGGCCACACAGCTCCTGCTGGAGATCAGTATTCTACCCCAAGACAAACACATTTGCAAAACTGAATCCAAGAAAAATGTTCCCCAGCTCCTCTCTTTCATCAGGAAGAGCTGAACATGTCTCCCACCCCTCAGTGGATGGCAGAGCTGCTGAGGCTTCCCTGGCCCACAGCAGCCCCATGTCTTTGGACAGCTGGAGTCCTTCACCTGTGAATTCTGCTCCCTGAAAAACAGCCAGATACTGGTTTGGGTTTTCCTTGGAAGTGAGACTATTTGTTTGGGAATAGCATAATCCATTTTATACCCCATACCTTTCAGACTACTAACCACAGTCTGATCACTCCTCAAACTGGTCCCTATCAGCCTGACCTGTGCAGGAACTGTTAGAATGAAAGATAGACTTAAGGCTTTTCTTTTCTTATTCACAGTAAATCTGGCAAAGTCAGACTAAGGAATCAATTAGGGTTATATTGCAGGCTTTCCACACAGTCACATTGCTCACATGCTTGCCAATGATGACCTAAATTCCTGAGTTTTTACAGGAAATACTGGTAACCCTACTTCCACTATAATCTTCCAGCTTTGTCTGCCCCTTAAGAAATGATGTTTATTCCAGAGCCACAGTTCTATCAAATGACCAACAGAACACTGCATTTAAAAAACCTTCTTTCCAACAGTTAATAAATACTTCTGGTATCCAGAGTATGCCCACAGAAAAAGCTTGAAACCCCGATGGCAAAGCTTTCTGGGCTGCAAAATGTGTTGGACTGCATTATTTGGGCATAAACTTGTCAGATTTCAGCACATCTACAGGAGCCTGTTATCCCATCCAACTGGACCATAGAATTGAGCAGTCAACACCCCAATTCTTCAGGTTAAGACAGAAAATGAACCATTCTGAATGGACTAAGGTAACATAATGCCTTTAGCATAGCATCTTTATGCAAAACAAATACAGCCCTTGCTTAGCTTGATACAGCACTAACATTCTCCAAAGAGGTGCCTTCAGAAATGGATTCCAGCATCACAACTCTCAGAAAACTCAGCTGGTCAGCAGTTCTGCTAGAGGCAAACCCATCTGTTTAAATTTCAAGGTTCCTCACAGGGAAAAATAATACACACCAATCAAATTCTTATTTCTGGTTTGTGTTCACCTGCTTTTCTAATTCAGAACACTCAAATCAGCCCAATGGCAAGTTGAAAGCCAGGAATTGCAAAGTCACTTTAAAACTTGTCTTCTAATTCAGGCTCCACTGAAATCAATAATCTCCTACAGTAAATCCCAATCCAACTGACTTAAAGCTTAGTGTAAATCTATTCTGGGAACATTTCATTAAACAGCCACCTAGGGGTTTATCTGTCTTCTGCCTTGTATGAGCAGGAACTTGGGAGAACAAGTTTCCAGTGGAGATGACCACGAAGCGAAGTTTCCGGCTGAACGAGAAGCAGACGGTGAAGGTGCCCATGATGCAGACCAAGGGCACCTTCCTGGCTGCTGCTGACCCCGAGCTGGACTGCAGCATCATCCAGCTGCCCTTTGTGGGCAACATCAGCATGCTCGTGGTGCTCCCACACAAACTGGCTGGAATGAAAGCCCTCGAGAAGCAGATCACACCTCAAGTGGTAGAAAAGTGGCAGAAGAGCATGACAAACAGGTATCTGCTGAAAAGCACATCTTGGTAAAGTCTTTATGTATTTTCTTGATGAGACTCATGAGGGTAAGTAAAGCATGCAGAGGATAATATATTTTGATAAAAAATATGGAAAAAAACCCTCCAAAAATGGATTTATTGAATTAAAAAACAGGACTGGTGATCTCTCAAAATTAAAATACCATCAAGAAATCAAGGATGACTGAGGTAGAAAATTGTAATGAAGTTTCAAAATTCTTTCTATTAAGTATTTAATGATGTAGATTCAAAGAAAACATTCTTACTGATTAAGTTTACAATGAGGAAAAACAAGACTGTGAAAATAACATTATTCTGCACCAATAATCTCGGTCACATCAGCTTATGTTCCATTCAGCACTGAGCATTTCAACAGAGCTGGGTGTAAAAGGAACACATTCCATAATCAAAGGACATTGCAATTATGGGAGAGGAAAAACAATAAAGCCTCCCTTGGCAAAGATGACAGGTGTATCTGCCTTCAGACTTGATAAAAGGAGATGATTTGATGTGCTATCCAGGAATTCAACCTATTTCTGTTGTACACAATAAGTGACAAATCTCCAGTTTAGTACTTCGGAAAATCTGACAGCTCAACACTTGTTACAAGCATGCACTGAACTGCTCAAAGTCACATACCTTATACACATAAATAATGCACATCATTATAAATGAAGCATCAAATTGGCAAACAAACAGTTTTCACAGGGGAATTAATTTGTTAAAGCACAGTTTTAAAAGTCATGATGCTGAAGTTTTGAAAGCAAAAATATAGTCCTGTATATCTGTGTCCTGCTTGCTGGAAACAGCAAAAAATCCAAACCATACAAGGTCTGTAGAGCAAAGGAGTCATGCACATAAATATCTGCTAAGTGATTTTTCCTTTTTGTGTTTATTTTTACTAGAACAAGAGAAGTGGTTCTGCCTAAATTTAAGCTGGAGAAGACTTATAACTTGATTGATTATCTGAGATCCATGGGAATAGAAGAACTGTTCAATGGAAAAGGAGACTACTCTGGCATATCAGATGAGAAGATCACCATTGACAGGGTATTTACTCCTCACTTCACCTCCTCTCTGATTAAGCTCTATCACCCAAAAACATGGCAGCTCAGTAATAATATTACACAGTAAGCTAAACCAAGATTTTTTTCCTCATCCTTTCTGGAGGATATAGCAGGGAGGATTGTGGGTTTGCCCTTGTCTATTTACATAATGAAGCACATGTTTAATCAGATGCAAAGGCACTAAGAGTGTTGTGGTCAGTCAGGAACAGGCTTCTCCCCAGAACAAACCACAAAGGTTTTGGTGCTGTGTAGGGTGACCAGCAGGGGTGTGGGATATGGAGCAGGGAAGGCTGTGAGCACATCATTCATTTACTTAGGAGAGCCTCAATTTCTCTGATTTGTTTTCCTGTTTTGTTTGTCTGAACAGTTCAATCACCAAGGCACAATCACAGTGAATGAGGAGGGCACAGAGGCTGCAGCAATAACCACGGTGGGGTTCATGCCTCTCTCCACCCAGATCCGCTTTGTGGTGGATCGCCCGTTCCTGTTCCTGATCTACGAGCACCGCACCAGCTGCCTCCTGTTCATGGGCAGAGTGGCCAACCCAGCCACATCTTAAAAACAGAGAACATCCTCCAACACTCTGTTACACATGGGCTGTGTAATTAATTATATGTTAAAATACCAGTATCATAAAGGAAAATTTATTGCCGTATTAGCCAATACAAAAGTCACTGGTATAAAAAGAAAATGTATTATCTACAGGTAGTTTCTCATGAGTGGACTCACAGCAGCAGATAATTTGTCTGCAATTAGTGTCATGTACTGATACAAGTGTATTACTAGCAAAAAAAAAATCACAAAGTACCTTACACTTTGTGTTTTGCGAGTGTATAAAATGTAATCAATAAAGTGTTTAGACTATCTGGAGTCTTGAAATCTAGCTCTAAATTTGTGCTAGGATGTCTGTTTATAAATAGGAGTAAGGAAATCCTGAATACCTGACCAGCCATAGACACATAAGTCTCTCCTGGGCATTTTACACAACCTAACTTGAAACAGATCAAATTTCAGTCTCCATTCTTTCTTTTGTTTGCATCGTTTAATGTTCAGTGAATACATACAATGTGTGTTAACATTCAGACTGATGCACACAATGAGCCTCATGGACCAGTGTATGAAGTATGAGGAGACAGAAATGTCTTGGAGGAATGAAATACTAAAGGACCCACTGCTTTTCCCTGATCTAACTTGTATTGCTTCAATACTTCCTCTGATCTTCATTGGTACAAGAGGTATCAGAATTATGCCAGCCTGATAAATGATATAAATATCTTCAGAATAGCCTTTAGAGGGAAAGCAGTCAGCAAAATGCTCTTTTCACTGGCTCAGTATCACCTAATCCTCTCTAGAAAAAAAGCCATTTATAGAAATCACTCTGTTAATATTCCAGTGCACTCTCCATGCTTGATTTAATGGACAAAATCTTTCAAGTCACTGCAAACTTTCTGAATTGTTCTGGTAACAACAAATTCTGTTCAAATGTGTCACATTTGAAAATGAGAAGATTTACCCACACTCTGTAGAATATCACTGTCTACCTGGTACAAGGAACAGAGCTGCACCATACATTCAAATTATTAAAGACAATGAACATACTCACCTCTGCATACCTTACTTTACATCATACCTTTTAAAAAATGTGTCTCATAATCCAGTGAGAGTATTTTTATTAGTTTCTGCAATATCAAATACTGTACCAATCTATCCATGTACATTATAAGTTTGTCTTATGTTAGCAAAAACACACAAGTAACCTTTAAACCAACCATTATTTTAAGAATTAGGAATTTTCTTAAAAAGGTGGTTTTCCAGTATTAAGTTTAACTTGTTGATTTAATATTGCTTTTATATATTGCTGTTTGTAATTTTGCATCTACTCCAGATATATGCTCCATGCACAAAGCTTTTCAAGCTGCCACCCAGTGAAATACTGGTATTTGATGATTATGAATGATGAAGAGCTGACACTGAACAGGAAACTCAGATGTTTTCCCCTATTCCTGTCTTTTAAGTCCATCAGGTGATAGACAATTTTCAGTACTGGAAGTACACAACAGAAATTAACATTCATATACACATTTTATTGTTTTATCTGTATGCAAAAAGGAAAGCATATACAAAAAAAGAAAAGCATATGCAAAAGCTTAAATATTCATGCCCTAGGTTTAATTAGTCTCTCAATGATTGAATGAGCTGGAGCATCTGCAATATGGGTTTTGGGGGACTTAATTATTCAAGGCAAAGAGGTCAAGCAGAAAAGCAAATCAGCTACTGCTCAAAACTCATGATCTTCATACATTGTGCAAGAAAGTCAAATATTTGCTTCAACAACCCTAATGTAACCATTAACTCTTGCTTCAGATTCTGGCACTATCTGACTGCATTTAAAGGTCACATTGGTTAAGAAAAATGCAGTTATCCCCAGCTATTCAGAACAAATATACCATCAATAAAAATTTGAAACAGAAAAGTAATTCCATAAGTTATACATTAAGTCTCTAATAAGCACTAATCTTCTCTCAATATGCAAGGAATGGTCCTGCTTGCACTCAAATCAGCACTGACAGCTGAAAAATGCCACCCATGAGAACATCTCAATGCAGGACTAGCTGGCTCATGCAAAACCTGAGCAACTATTGAATAAGAGTGATCCAAGACATTTATAAACACATTTCTTTAAAGTCAGGAACTGGTCCTTGTGATCACTGCTGAATTTGGGGAGGGCTGATGTACAAAACCAGTGGAAGAGATATGGGAAGGAAAGGAACAGTCCTCTGATCTTTAACTAGTGCTAATTTTAGACTGATCTCATTGACAAACTTCAGTGAAGGGGTTTGAGGGGGCAGAGTATGAAATGAATTCTTTTTTCCTGCCTGTTAATGGATGTGCAGTATGAACAAACTACAAGCAGACATCCCTACTGCAAGCATGGGATATGTTTTCCCCTTTTGTCCCAGCAGCTGTGCAGGAAAAGTTCCAGAGAATAATTCAGCTTCAAGAGGGAAACAAGCAGCATGATGCCTTTTGTCCTTCAGGAAGTTTGTCTATGGATCTTTCAGATGTGACTGTTTTTTGTAAAAGCTACAGCAGTTAGGCAAATAGACCAACTGACCTGGTAACAAGCCTTGGATGTATCAAATTTTCCATTGGAGATCCAGATCTACAATTTTTTCCTGAATTAGCACTTGCACTTTGTTAAAAAAAATGGGTTTTTTCCCCAGAAAAAAATTATATCCAAGAGTGAACACAGATATGCTTTAGAATAAATGAGTCTGGCATGGACATCAGTGTCCTTGCACATTTCCTAAAATGCTTTCAGCCTGACAGTCAATTCTCATTTCAGAAGACATGGGACACTTACCCCCTTCTTTATCAATGATTTTTTTTTTCCTTTTAAGAAGCAGAATTCACTTTGGTGCCAAATTATTATTTATTTTTTACTTTGTTTCTGTTAATTTTTGCTTTTCACTTCTCCTCAGGCTGCAGATATGTGCTGTTTATTACACTGCAGGCCAAATATTAATCAAAGTAATATTCCCTGCAGTATCATTTAGCTCAAGAATCTCCTGAATTCATGGCTTGAAACAATCTAACCCTGAATCACAAAAGATTCTTTATTTTCAAGAGATTTGTCAGTAAATGAATGTTCCCCTCCCTTAGAGCTAGGTGCATTATTTTACATTAGTACTACATTTCTCCTGGATGGTAACCTCTGCACTACAGTCAATCAAAGCATTTTGCTTGAAATAGCAGCAGTATTTCATAAAGGCAAAAAAAATTATTGTTTGCAACAACTGATCCATTGGATACTCACCACAGCAATGACAGGAATAAGCACACCCAGGTTCCCTGCACTACTGGAGGCCTGAGAAGAAAAAGGAAATGCTCAAAACATCTACAAAAGCATTTCTAAAGTATTTGCTAAAAGACATATTTCAAGCATCAAACATTGCAATTACAACTCTGTATCTTGCAAAGAGATGTGCACAGGGTGGTCAGGAGAGCACCCATGAAATCCACAGGACTCAAAACACCCTGGAATCTTTTAACAAAGCTTTTCAGGTTTTCCTCATGGACTACTGAAGGGGATTTTTTTTCCCCTGTTAGCACACAGTCTGCAAATATTCAATAACTGCTAGAAAAATGATCACATTAAATGGGTGGCCACAAACAAGTAACAAATGTTTACCAGAAGTTTCATTTTACTATCAAAATGAAGCCAAAAATAACAAGCCTGTAAAAAGACATAATTTCCAAGAATTTATTTAAACAGGAGGAGCAGCCTTTTCCATTGAAATATAAGAAGCATACGGAAAACACCAATTTCCTTTGGCTTTTTAGGACTTTTTAAACTGCAGCTATACAAGTGTGTTTGCTCTTGGCCAAGTAGAGTATTAAATAATTGAAAACATTCACTGAGCACAGCACATCATTTCTCACCTTTTCTGATCAGGGAAACAGTGATGGCACAGACACCACACTGAGACATCTCTCTGAGGTATTTCCCACCTCCCATATCCCTCCACACTAGATTTGGGAAAGAGGGAATGCTCCAGTTCCCTCCTTACAAGAGAGTGCTGGCCCCACACAGATGAGGCAGGGAAGATGTGCTAACAGGGTACAGCTTTGCATGAAGTGGAATAAACCAAAAGGAAGCAATTTAGAAAAGCAAAAACAAATAAGAAAAGAAGAGAGCAATAGAGAAACAAAGCCAAATAGTCTTCAGATGAAACAATAATGGTACAACCCAACCAAAACAAATTTCAGTTATCTTTCCTGGAGAGTCAAGATAAAGCAAACAAAAGATGGGTCTTAAAATATTTTTGAAGGGAATAAAATAATAGCACAGAAGATACTCTAAGGGGTAGGGACAACTGGGAAAAGTCACCATGGTTTTTTGTTAACTTCAGGACAATCCACTGCATGTGACTCACTGCTTCAGAGTCAGAGCAGAGACACAAACTAACTGCAATAGCCAGAACCCAACAGAACTACACAGTTTCTGTAGAAAACTCACTTTTCTAGTAGCACTTTTTGTTAAAAAAATATCAGCAGATCAGCTTCTTTATGATAATACATGGCACTGAGGCTGAAAAAGATGGACTGACTTCCATTCTTGGGCATACTCAGAGAAATCCATGTCAACTATCAGCAATAGCAGAAGAAAAATAAGATTTTTTTTCTTTTTCTCACAGAAATCACTTTTGAGTGGTTGAAAATAGAACAAAAAATCACTGAACGTTTTAATGTTTATCAAGCAATTTTTAGTGTGTTGAGAAGAAGAGACATAGGCAAACTAATGAAGAAAACCTTGCTTTTGTTTGGGGAGCACAGCATGGGCAGTGTTTTACCCTCTTTACCTCTTCTTGAAAATGAAGTCTTCAGAATACCTTTCATAACCTGTACTCTGCATTGAGTAGAATGCTCTAGTGAGAACTGCTCTCAGGATCTTCACACTAAAGAAACAGTGCCTCCTAGCTCAACCCATCTGCACTCTGTCATTTCTCCATGTGCAGAGTTGCACAGCTTTCAGTCAGTGCAGCAGTTTGTCTCCCATACTGACTCCAGAGCATCCCATGCTTCCCTTTGCAGCTCTGACACTCAGGCAGCCTCAGCTGAACTGCAGCTATGCCCTGGTTTATCTGGGACACTCCACACAGTCAGTCAGGCACCCAGACCTGCACTCACACTCCACCACCAGAATGCACCTCAGGCTTAGCACAGCCAGGGTGTGTTCAGCAGTGCCACCCACATAAAGCACAGCTGCACACAATTAAAAACCAGTGCATTTCTGACCTTCAGTGCTGGTCCTTTTTCACTTGCTCTCTCACTAGCTCTCTTTCCTTCGAGCCCGAGCTGAA